ATTGCGTCTGTCACTATAGTCACCGCCTATCCTCCAACTTGAGCTTTGTGTACGTAATTCCTCTCACTCTGGAGTATTCAGCTCTGTAGGGACCTGACATTGTGATGTTATACTGGGAATGCCTCATAGGGTTATGGGATGTCCACAATGGATTAATTCTACGGTACGAAGTGCGTAACGTAACCTGGGTCAACATTCGTGTTGCCAATAGATAGCTTACTTTTGGGTTACCATAAACCCTGGTTGCTTCAACATTCTGATAAGTAATGACTATGTTGCCATTACGAGAAATACTCTTTTGTCGCTTGTTTGGTGGCATGTCTGAGGTTGCTGATGAGCGCGTTTGCAAGCGAAGATATCAGGCTGCTAACGATAAAAAAAGACAATCGCCCCAGCGCTGCACGGGCAATTCGATTGACTATCCAGAACAGACAAAGCTTGCGGCGAAAGGCAGCTTATATGAGAGAGTATCATGCCGCTAGCCCCAGTCGAATACCATCCGTTCAGCTATAATGGGACAACCGGCAATAGTCGAGCTGACGCCAAACGAGCAATCCACCCCGAATTTGGGCGCTGATACTGAAGATCCGGTACAGAGAGAGCGACATCGGAGAGCTGCATATATGTGGCGGTATGGAGCAGCAAATCAGTTACGAATTCTGCAGATACGACTTCTGTAGCACCACCGGTGATGTCTGCACGACGACAAAAAGCTACAAATATGCGGAAGTATAGAGCATCGCAAAAGAATCGAACCGGTAGGATCGCCATTTTATATACAATATTTTACATTCTACCACAAGTCGTTTGAAGTGAAGCCAATTAAGATCCTATTTTGTTTTATCCAAAGTAGCCGCTGGCGTGGCTACATATGCTACAAATGATGGAAAGCAAAAACAGAAAACAGCAAGGGTAGAAATACCAATGAACGAGCGTTTGCAGACACATTTTTGGAGAAAAACAGCCTCTCAGAGGAAGACGTGGAGGTTATGTCGAAGGGTCAAGAGTTCACATCTGATCCAAGCCTGGCGTTGTTGTAATATTACTGTTGTGCTGGTCACCTAGACGCACTTGTGTTTAACGACGAGCATGTTCGTGACTCAGAAAAAGTGGTAGAAAGACTCCTTGAAGTGCTAGATTCTCCTCCTGCTGCTTCAGAATATCGTTGATGTCACGAATCATCTGCAGCTGTCGATCCATCGACTGTTCCTATCCAGGCATCTGTATCCTGCTGCGAATTTCTTGTGGGTCATAACAGTGGTCGTGTGGTGTAGCAGAACACACAAATACCGTCAGATGTGGATTCTCACACAAACCACAACAATACGCCTAGTCTACAGCCTAGATTTGCCAGTCGAGCTGGATAAGCCAGGTAAGATAGGCGCTTGTATGGCCTGCACTGTGGTTGGTCCCCCGCGGTTCGGCCCAGCCGGGACAGGCGGTGTGCTCTCGCGTTCGCCAGGTCACGGCCAACCAAGCCAGTCTCCTTCGAGCGTTCGCCAGGTGATCCCTGCGAACCTCTGTCCTTGAAAACCTGCGCCCTCCACCAAAAGATGGACAACGGTGCGCGAGCGCTTTTACAGGGCACCAAGCGCAAAGGCGTCTCAGCTAGAAGTGTCACGGCACCCGGGCTATCCGGCGTACCGGCTCGCCGACCTGGCGGGTCTTGTCCTTGCCCGGCTAAGCGGATCTTTTATGTGTTCGCTGAGCGAGTCTTACTTCTTCGCGCGGAGCGAGACTGTTGCCTACCTTATCTCTTGGTGCTGCCAGTCAGTACCCTACAAGCTATGCCTCTCGGGTACCAACGGCAGACATAATTCGGCCCTGTGCAGGGACTTACCGAAAGAGTGTACACGTGTCTTGAACTCGGAAAATTCTGCTCTGTTTATTTGTTATCCGCTCGGAGCCTCTTCGGGCTCCTCCTATTCTTTTACTATGTTTACTTTACAAATATCAAGTGAAATAGAGGGTGTCTGATCTCATCCGACCGTTCACCGGCTCCAACGGCTAGGCGACTCTTCGGACCCAGCTGACGTCCGCCAGGTGAGTACTGTATTCTTTGACTCCTTATCCATCGTCAGCCAGGTCAGTACCGTCGTCAGCCAGGTCAGTACCGTGGACCTTGACTTTTTGTCCGCCGTCAGCAAGGTCAGTACCGTAGGCCTTGTTTCTTAAGTTTCGTCAGCCAGGTCAGTACCGTAGATCTTGGCTTCTAAGTCGCAAGGGTACACTCCTTCCTGACTCATCCTAGTTCACCTGATTTAGAGGCGGCGCCGAACTTGAATATCTCTACACCACAGTCGCGTATGCCTTTCGTTATCGAAGATATCAGTTGAATTTGGTATATCATCTGACGAATACACTGAGCGATATGAACATTTGTCACAAAGTACTGCAAAAGCCTACGCGCAAATATTTGCTCATTCCAGCTGTTCTAAATACTATTTGAATCCAGAGCTAGTGAAAAACATTGAGCGCATTCAAATTTGCACAAAATGCGCATACAACCCGAGAAAGTCGCAGTTTATCATAGCAAACGGGAATTATTATGGGAGATGTAGCTCGCTTCCCGAACTGAGCATAATTGGAAAGAATTGCATCGCACCTGCTCGACCGTTTGGATTAGAACTATCAATCTCCGGCAAGCATTGCAGCGGTCATGAAATATGTGTCCCTTCTGACAGGCCTCAATTATGTGCAAAAGTGCTGCCTGTTACTGATGTTGATAAAAAAAAAAAACTCGAGTGACGGTCATTGGGCCAGTCGAAGAGTGGAGAGTGCGCAAACATGTTTATTGGTGATTACATGAGATACCAAGCTCCAGTATCTTCCCGTGGCTATCTGTATTGAAGGAGACACACAGTTACTTCAGGTGAGAGAGAATCAAGATTGATGTTTCACACTCTCAGGCCGAAAAAGTTAAAAAAAAAAA